TCTCGCCGAGCACAGTACGACCCCGCCCTCAAAAAAAAAAATCCTAGGCTGTTTTTTGGCCCGCCCGGTTTGCCCGGGCGACCTGCCCAGGCCCCGCCCGGCCGGGCGGCGTCCGTACTCAGGAAAAAAACGAAAAAAAAATAAAATAAAAAAATAGCACAATTACGTTCAGACCCCTCTCACGCAGCACAAGTGCACACAGTGGCTTCACTCCCACAGCTGTTCGCTGTGTTGCTTAAACTGCAAGTACACCGCCCCCGGCAAAGATTTGAGTCGAAAATGAGTCGTTCTGAAAAGTTAGGGGACTCGCCCCGGTGCAGGCGTGGGGGTGAGCGTAAATAATTTTTTGTCTCCCGCACCGCGGTGGGCACTGGCGCCGTGCAGGACAATTTCTTTTTTTTCCGCCCGCCCCCAGGCCCGCACTGGGGCGAGTCCCCTAACTTTTCAGAATGACTCATTTTTGACTCAAATGTTCGCCTGGGGCAGTGTACTTGCAGTTCGATGCATCCATCTACTCTTGTCGAGCGTGCCTAGAGCCTAGACGGTTGACCCCGACGTAACACCAGCAACAATTGATTGGCAGGGAGGAGGATGAAGAGAGTTCCTGACGCACCTGAATGGTGGTGTGAAGTCGATCTCAATAGGATCTGCTGCAGGACCATCTGCATGATACTTCATTTTGTAGGACCCTGTTATTGCCATGACCATACCTGTGGCATCACAAGAGCACCAAAGCAGGCAAACACATTTTTTTATTATATCGACTCTTTTTCTAGCAGGATGGATCATCACGGAGTTAAACCACCAGTACCTTTGTCGGTTCCAAAATACTCGGCCTTCGACCTTTCAGGAGGCCGAAACGAAATGATGGCCGCCGATCAGATTAATCAACGTCAGGCTCGGCCTCCTGAAAGTTCGGGTACTGGCCAGGACTTGTCAAAACCGGACGCCAAAGGTACTAGTGGTTTAAGACTGCTGGGAAAGAAAATAGTAAAATACAGGTATGTCAACCACCAGCAGCAGGGAACAGAGTCTATCTGCATGCAAGAAGCCAGTCATCATATAACCTGTACCAAAATACTGCATGAGACATTTAACTCATGTGAAGCTACCGTCTTCACCCGAATACAACATACGGTCGTTATAGCTGTATTTGGGGTACCTTTCAGTCCGAATACAGCAATAATGACTATACCATACGTTGTATTCCGGTGAAGACCGTAGTGATTGACAACGTCTACCTGATGGACCATGAAGAAGTGCTGTGAAAAAGACGTCCCAACCCACTGCTCATTCGCTGTGAAAATACAGGCATCCCAAGCACAGGCAGTGGAAACAAAGACTCTCTTCAAGCCAGGACCCAGCCATCACATAGCCTATAACAGCACGTCGTATCAGAGTCTAAAACATGTCTTTTGGGTGATAGCCAACGTAGAGAGAGAGAGAGAGAGAGAGAGAGAGAGAGAGAGAGAGAGCCAGAGAGAGAGAGAGAGAGAGAGAGAGAGAGCCAGAGAGAGATAGAGAGAGGGAGAGAGAGAGAGAGAGAGAGAGAATCCTAGACAGATTTTCAATATCATTCACACATCAATTCAATACAATACATACTGACTGAGTGAGCTGAAAGCAGCACACCTACAGACAAGAAAGGATGCAAGCAGACCGCAGGTTGCAATCGGTAACTAAGTTGATTGACAGCAAAAACTTAGAATAATATTGTGTGACTAAACTGTGTGCACCCTTCCAGAGCTTTGATGTATAAAGAGTTTCGCTAGCCTCGCTCACTCTGTCCGATTCTGCATTCTGCAATCTGCTGCTTTCGGGCTTCTACTCACATGACATGCGCTTCTACTCACACAAGGAAGTTGACTGGACAGCATAATAAGAAAGATGATGGAGGCCAAAAAAAACTTAAAAAAAGGTGTTTGACTGACACGTAAGCGCGTAAGCAGAAGCTCACCTGAGACCAGAGTTTCTGTCATTTCCATCAGATCATTGTAGTCCGCATACGCCTGATAGAATTCGCAGGTCGTGAACTCCGGATTATGCGTAAGATCGATTCCCTCATTGCGGAACTGTCTTCCGATTTCGTACACTCGGTCAAGGCCGCCGACGATGAGCTCTTTCAAATAAAGCTCGGGAGCAATCCGCATGTAGAGGTCGATGTTTAGATCGTTGTGATGAGTGACAAAAGGTTTAGCTGCTGCGCCTCCTGCGATCATGTTCATCATTGGCGTTTCAACCTACAGTGCAGAGAGCGTTCATCTCACTCAGTCAGTCAGTCAGTCCATGAATATCGTCGAGACTCGAGACCAGATTATTTACAGATTTACAGATGGTACCTGGGTGTTGCTCTGACATCTTTCCTTTTCTTTTTTTCCTCGCACACAAAGGTTGGCAGGCCGGAGTGGGTATATTGGCTGTGACTGGGAACGCAGGCCGTTTCTTCCCCGCGGCGTTCCGATTTAGTTGTTTTTTTTCGTGCCTGCAATTCTATAAACCGCCTCCATCACGACTACCTAACTAGCCACTACACCTGATCTAGCCCACCTCTACCGCTCTGACACGTTTCCTTTTTTTTTTTCCTCACATACAAAGGTAGGCATGCTCAAGCAGGTATATCAGCTGTGACCTGGGACTGGAGACCATTTCTTCCCCCCGGACCCCTCCGTTTTAGTTGTTGTCCCTGCAATTTATTAAATGGCCTCCAATCACAGGCTAGCCCCACTACACCTAAAGTACAAGCATAACTATAATCATACTTTTACGATGTCTAGGCTCTTTAGGTTTTCTAAATACCTACAATTTAGCACATCTTTATTTGAATTCCCAAAGTAAATCAGTCAGTGTGCTTTGTTGCAATTTTTTATTTTTTATTTTTTTTTCAACAGTGGCTAGTCTGCCTACCACTGTTTACTGTCGAAGGAAGAAAAAAAGCAGGAGGGACTGCACTGGGCAAACATGCCGTGGATGCTCTACAGCCAAGGTAACCGTCAACGGAAGCCATAGCAAGCAAATCAGATCAACCTGATATTGCTTCCAGTGAAATAAATGCTTAGAAACAACAAGAGTCCCCGCTTAGAAACAACAAGAGAATCAAGTTCAATCAACCCTTCAGGACGTCCATTAAAACTGGAACATACAGAGAAGATTCGCATGGCCTATGCCCACGGATGACTCACATAGACCGAGAAAATGGTTCAAATTTCTGACAAAAAGAATAAGGAAAACAAACAACACCAGTCACGTGGAGCAATCATTGGTAACTTATATACTTCAAAAGCCCAACTGCAATATCCGCTTCTACCCATCCTGTACTGCCGATACTCAATGCACCACTACCTTTCCCGCTGTTGGGAAATCGGAAAAGCAGCCCACTCCTAAAAAATACGATGCAACAGGGACCCAATGACGCCTGCCATTGATGAATCTCATCGGCAGCCATCGTTTCGTTCCGGCCTCCTAAAAAATTGGAGTCCCACACAAAAGTCGGACATGGATAAAGGTAGTGGTGGTCTAACTGAATCCCTTTGATTATTTTTAAAATTGGAGTCCCACACAAAAGTGGGACATGCCAAAAGATATAACTTATTGGGGTGCAGCAAAAGCAAACACAGATGAGCTGATCCCTTTTTTTTTCAGTATTCACCGTACTGTCTGCAAGTTGGCATGCATTCACATCACATCTACAGGCACAGCGTTCCACTTCTTTCGGATGAAAAAAAAAAAAGATTGCACCGTCTCTCTCACCCACCTCGATGAAACTTCTTTCATCAAGGAAACGTCTGATGTACTGGATGACTTTTGTCCTTGTTAGGAAAATGCCTCGCACTTCTGGATTCATGATCAAGTCCAGATATCGCTGCCGATACCTTGTTTCCTGCACCCCCACATGAAGCACAATCGAGATGCTTAGTCACTGGGCATAGCCCAGATTGTACACGCATGAACTGTTAAAAAACTTAAAATAGATGCCTGACTCCCGAGTTTGAATGCCCATGGGCAACCGGATGAGCCGAGTTCTCTGATTAAGGGGGGGGGGGGGGGAAAAAAAAAAAAAGAGAGAGAAACCGCTGATTGAGAAGAAAAGAAATCAAAATCGCTGATTAAAAGGGGAAAAAAAAAAAAAAAGGCGAAATCGTTGATTGAAGGGGGGGGGGGGGGGGGGAAACAAAAAAAAACCGGATCAAGAATCAAGATGCTTAGAAAATTCTCGCTTCAAGAACCCAGCGGTCCCATCTCTCGTGCTGTTTCGTACCAAGTGCTCCAAATAAATAAAGTGCACACTTCACAAGCTGTGGGCAAATCAGGGTCCAACTTATAAAACAGCAGATGGCTCAACACAGAAGCATCTGACAGTCGTCCATTTTTATATCTGATGGTCCTGTATGACATTTCGCGCTCGACGCCATGACATGTGCTGCCATTTTAAGTTTTTCAGGGTGTGTAATTGNGCATACACTCCTATCTGCTCCACCCACCAAGAAAATGTGAAAAAGCTACAAATTGAAGATAGCCGAATACTAGGGAAGATGCTTCCATAGGACACCAACGCGGGTGGGCTTTAAAAATTTACCCTGCCTTGGCAATCCCTAATAGCATGTATGTAGGTGATGCAAGACAGAAAAGGAAAACAAGAGAAAGGTTCAAGAACAAAAGAACGCGGAGAAAAATGAGGGAGAGACGAGAGACTTTTCTCTCCCTCCTTGTTGGATTAGAGAAAACTAGCGTGGACGAAAACGGAAAACAAAAATCAGCTTCATCGTTCAAACAGTGCACTCCCACATCAACCTGGATGAATATGACCTCAATGACAGCCTGATGCAGGGATAGGGAACTGAAATAAAGGACGGCAGAGAGAAAGTGAGCTGATGTTCACAGATGTCCCTCCCTGACAAAACAGGGGGAACCAGCCCGCGGAGTATATCTTGCGTCTAAAGCTAATATCCGATTTCGAAACTGGGAAATTCCGCTAACGCGCCTCGATCGACACCACAGTCGCTGATCACACAGCCCTCGATCCCCCACGTACTGAGGCACCCATGCCCACTACATCAAGCATTCCGCCCTCCTCTCTGCATTGTGTGCCTGCCAAAACCCTGCAGGGGCGAGATGGGATGAAGGGGGAGCAAGGCCACAAAAGGATCCGGACCCTACCCGCTCTCCCACCCCTGGCCTCCACCACAGCCCCTCTGCGCCGGACCATCCTCCAGCTCAGCACTAAACTACATGGAGCTGGACCGGAGGAGAAAAGCGGATAGAAGCAGGATGGAGGAGAGGGCGGGGGAAGGGAGGGCAAGCCAGCGTCCTGCACCCCAAAGATCAGTCGTTCCCGTGTCAATGATCCTTCCGCAGGTTCACCTAAGGAAACCTTGTTACAACGACTTCTCCTTACTCTACATAATAAGGTTCAATGAACTTGGAGCTGGGCTTCCTACTTCCTACTACCAGCCAAACCAAACTGTCGAGGAGATGGTTAATGAAAGGCCCAAAATTCACGTCGTCGAAGATTTCGCAAAAAAAAAAAAAAAAAAAACGAACAGGCAAAAACAAACACAAACAGGCGAAAAAAAAAGAACTCAAAAGCACTATAAGACCTTATTCAGAGTAGCTTTCAGAGTTCGCCAAAACTTTCTACAAACGATATGTGCCCATTATGCAAACATAAAATAAAAAGAAGAAAAACAGGGCAAAGAAAAACAAAAATATACCCTAAAGCACATACATATCCCACCCAAAAAAAAAAAAAAAAAAAAAAAAAAAACAAGGAAAAAACTTCAAAAAAAAAAAATCAGGGAAATGTAGCAGCTTCGGTGAAAAAATCACCAAAAATGACACCAGCTATTAGCCATGACAAACAACAGCAATACCCAAAACATATCCAAGTGGCAGACCGGAGACTTGAGTCCCAGCAGCTCCCTTCTATTCCCGAATAACAAGCAAGAAGCAAACTGTCACAGCAAGAAGCAAACTGTCACAGCAAGAAGCAAACTGTCGAATGAAGGTTATCTCGTCGTTCTACTTCTAGACAAACGGGGCACAAGGTTTGTGGGACCCAGCGGCCGACATCATATCCTACCAGAAACAGCGCGCGGGCTCAAATCCCGAAAGTCACAAACAACAAGAACGCTCAAAACATATGCAAGTGACATGTCAAAAATCAAGACCTAGCGGCTCCTTTCAATGATTCCCAAACAACCAAGTTAAAAACACAGAGTTCCAGACATGGGATCGAGAGATCAAACCCCCGTACGATCCCACAGCCACTATCCCTTCTCTTCAAAACAGGAAAAACAGACCGTAACCAAGGGCCATGGGAGCGAAAAACACTTACTTGATCCTTGAGGCCCATACGAGCAACTGGCAGCATTCGCAGGCATGGCGACAGCACACTCATTGTGCACGGGAAGATACTCAGCTCACCCTTCCTGCTTTTCCCTGCGCACATCACAACCATGGACGACAACAACTGGCGGACTCAATGAATGATCTCCACAGCATATCCATCAACAAACCTGCTTTTTCAATTCAGGAATTTTGTTCATCTGGTTACATCCATCTGGATTCGAACACAGGTCTGCATTTCAACAGTTTATGGGTGTGCCACCAGCTGAGCTAAACCCATTACCCACTACAAGCTGTTGTTCTCTTTATCAAAGATGGATGGAATTTGTGCCACCGCAAAACGCCCAAGTTCTTTTTCTTTTACTCGCATTGGTACAGGGATTGCTGCTCGCCATCCCTGTACGGATTGCTGCTTTTTGTCAAAGATAGGATGGAATTTGTGCCACTGCAAAACGCCCAAGTTCTTTTCTATTACTAGCATTGGTACACGGATTGCTGCTCCCCATCCCTGTACGGATTGCTAATCACCATCCATCCCTACAAGGATTGCTGTTCCACATGGACCAGAACAAATGGCCCAACGTTCACCCCAAAGTTCCCAAACAGTTTTCTTTTATGAAAGAAAGAAAGAAAGAAAGAAAGAAAGAAAGAAAGAAAGAAAGGAAGGAAGGAAGACGGAAAGAAAGAAAGAAAGAAAGGCAACCGGGATGCAATAAAATTGGAACGATACAGAGAAGATTACCACTGCCCCTGTGCAAGGATGACGCGCATAAATCGAAAAGTGGTATAAAGAAGATAGGCAATGAGGCTGCCTCTAGGTGATAGGCACCAAGCGTACCCAGACGGCAAATAAGGGTAATGGAAATCGAACGAACAACCTCCTGAATGCCACTTGTGTACCATACCAACTGAGCTAGCCCGCTCCTTCAGCTCTTAAACTGCCTTTTCGTTATCTGAAGTTTTTTTTGTTAATCTTTATGAAATATGAACGGAACTTCTCTCACCTTGAACGGTTAAGGTTTTTTTTTTTTTTTTTCGGGCAGCAGGTGGTTCTCTGAACAGGATTGCTGCTCCCCATTTCCACAACCCACTTTCCTTCCTTTCACTTAGGTGAGTACTGTATCTGAAAAGTACTGCCTTCCCCCAAATAGAACACCCTGTCATAGACTCATAATGACTTCATCTGGACTGCAAGTTGTGCCAAACGCTGCACAGCTGTAATGACCCAACATTCTATTCGGGTGAGGACAGTAGTCTGCAAACGAACTGCATGTAATGCAAGGACCATGCAACATGTGCAAACTGCAAAGAGCGACTCAGCGAAGCATAATAATTCAACAGAGGGAAAAAAAGAAGAATGGGTTTAGGGAAGAAAGCAATTACCAGGGAAGCCTGTGAAACCCACAATGTCGCCCCTCTTCACGTTCCCCATCTTCTTCTTGAACTCCTCTGCATCAAGGCCAAAGTTGCTTCAAGGGCAAAGTAGACAAAGACAGAAGAGTCGGGGACATAAACGCAGCCCACAGTCTCAATAAAATATAAAATATATATTACTTGCTTCGAGGTCAAAGCCTGATAAATTTTATTTTCTTCATTTCTAGTGAAGGAGAAAAGAGCGTTTCCCCAAAGCACTGCGCATATAATGAATGCTAACTGAACCATTTTCCTAACTGCGGCGACCTTGCCGTTTCCATATCTATCGTCTTCACCTGAATACAACGCCCGGTCATTATAGCCGTATTTCGGCCAGTTTTCCGTCTATATACAGCAACAATGACAGGGCATTCTATTCGGGTGAAGAGGGTAGGAGCCTACGGCCTTATGATTCCTTGCTGTTGATATCCGTTCCAGTCAGACTTACAAAGAAAGGAAAGGCACTGAATCTGGCTTTGATAGGTGTTCATATACTCTCAACTGAATCTGGCTGTGATTTGTGTTCATATACGTCAGCAAAGGACAAGCGTGGGTATACCCTTAATATGAGAATAATCGATGCGACTTACAAAGTAGCGTAAGGGCATACTCACACTGGGACTTTCTCAACTGAATCTGGCTTTGATTGGTGCTCATATACGTCAGCAAACGACAAGTGCGAGCATACCCTTAATGAATATACTAGATAGATGAAACATTGCAAGCAGTGCAGTTCCATATTCTGTAATTGGGAGCTTCAGGCCAACGCTAGGAAAGCTCTGCCTCAAGGAGTGACAACAACAGGAGCCGTATTCGCCATGCGTTCACAGGCTGACAATGCCTGGCCCCTTGATAATCACCCCCTCTCCAGATGGGATTCTCCACTCTGAAATCTCTGCACCATCTCCTGGAAGGAGCATGCCAACTAACCAAGCCTTAGGCCAATATAAGATACAAATTGTTTGTTTGTTTGTTTGTTTGTTTGTTTGTTTGTTTGTTTGTTTGTTTGTTCTGGGGGGGGGGTCCGTTTGGACCATTTCTCGATTTATGTGTGTCATCCTTGCGCAGGGGCCATGTTAATCTTCTCTGCATCGTTCCAACTTTAACGGATGTCCCAAAGGACAGATACAAATGGTTTACTTCAAATATTGAAATTTGAAATTCATAAAGTCACAAAATGCACCTCAGAAATGTGTGTGTGTGTGTGTTTG